GTTTCCGATATGGTGATGCGGTGAGTCGTTTCAGTGTAAAAGTAGCCCAATGTCTACTGAAGGTGTATAAATTTTAAAACACAGTGGAGCACTATTATCACATGACATCACAAGGTGGAAATGTGTCCTTTTCCGTTTTAAAGAAGAGCTCCACCTAAATATGCAAAGTCTGTGAGTTAAACATGTGTGAATGAAACAAAACACAATTCTAGGCATGTTTGTGATGAGGAAACAACATTATAACAGTGATAAACACAGTAATGAGTAGTTCCATTGTCATTTTTCCACAAAAAATCACCATGTGGCTGTAACTATGATAATCTCAAATCTGATTGACCCAGACAATTAGATGATACGCTAAGATTCATATGACAATTCTCCATACAGTTTTTCCTTCTGTCGCCTGTAACCTTTATCCATCAATCTCAAACAGCAGATATGTAATTATTTTGTATTAATAACCACTATCCACGTCATTGTCACGTCTGTGCTAGATTCTCCCACACAGTTTGAAGATCCTGATTATTTTTGACACTATAGATACTTATAGACATATACAGTATGTAAAGCCTAGAAAATCTCTCCCACACTTGATATTAATCTACTTAGTGACTATTTAAGTGCATGTAACGTGATAATGTCTTCATCACTGCATCGCTTATTCTTTGCGAGTTTAATATACCGTGACAACCTTAGGTATTCCTCAAAGTTGTAGTGTAAAAAGAAACATTGTGAAGAACAAGAAATAAATGGAGCAAATTATGATGGTTAAGTGATTAAGATGTTAATAAGGAAGTTTTGTGGTTGTTGCCAAACTGATCTGCTGGGTTCAAAGCTATCAGAGGTGCTGTTTAATTTAGTCCTGGTTAGACCTGTTTTAGACCTGCTTTAGTTATGGCTTATACCTGTTTTAGTCCATGGTTTAGTCCTGGTTTCATTCTGTGTTAAGTATAGTTCAGTTCTGATTTAGTTCTAGGCTAAATTTGGTTCAGAACTAGTTTAGTTTTGGGTGAGACCTGTTTTATACCTGGTTTAGTTCTGGCTTATTCCTGTTTTAGTCCTTGGTATAGTCCTGGTGTCATCCTGTGTTAAACCTGGTTCAGCCCTGGTTTAGTTCTAGGTTAAACCTGGTTCAGTCCTAGTTTAGCCCTGGGTTAGACTAGTTTTAGTCCTGGGTGAGGCCTGGTTTAGTTCTGGGTTAAGCCTGGTTTCGTCATGGGTAAAACGTGGATTAGACCTGATTTAGTCCTGTCTTAGACTTGGTTTAGCCCTGTGACCTGGTATAGTCCTCAGTAGACATAATATAGACCTGCCTTAGTCCTAATTTTATCTAGTTTAGTCCTGGTTCAGACCTGGTTTAGTTCTGGTTTAGTCCTAGACCTGTTTTAATCTAGAGTTAGACCTGTTTTAGTCCTAGTTACACCTGGTTTAGTCCTAGGTGAGACCTGGTTTAGTTCTGGTTTTGTCCTGAATTAAATTATGTTTCATCCATGATTTAACATTCATTTTTTTTATATTTCCATTTTCCCACACATTTGTAATTGTATCTTCAAAAGTTAATTGAAACTAAATTCCACCAAGCCAAAAGCAGATTTTACAAGTTGAATATTTGCCTAATTACTTTCTCCGAGGCAGGAGTTGTTTAAAGAAATTGGCAAAAACAATCCTTAAACTCATAGAAATAATTTAACTTCTCACTGTTTCTCCACAGTACACCACTATGCTTAGTGCTTTTGAAAGAGAATGCGGATTGCTATCATAACATAATAACATTTCCAAACCTTTGAATGCAAATCTGGAGAAATGTTGGCTTCAAATATGAAAAAATTTATAAGACTGAATAATTGAAGTAGGGTAACCACATGAAACCATCTTAAATAATTAAATCTATTACATAATTATGATGCAATGGTAACAGGATAAGATAAAAATAGCAATACTATTAATCAAGCATGTTAATAGCATGAAGTCTAACCAGATTTGAGAATATTTAACAATTTTGTGGCAATCTTTTTGCAAATAATTCCAGTGAACAGGATAAGCATCAAGTTAAGATAAGCATAAAGTTACGGGTTAAGGTCAAGTTATATGTAATATAAGTTTACAAAGCAAATGAACGATAAGGAATTTCTTTGAAGACAATATAAACTGTATACAAGTGTGACTAACTAATATGTAGCATTGTTGTTCACTATGGACATTGGACAATCTGACTTAATATACCAAAAGCCATGTGCAATGCAATTTTTTGAAGGACCAGGGAATTGAACCTATCACTTCACATATATTTGCATTGGGATTGAATCAATTAAGCTTTTCTAACAACAACATGCTATTAATATGGTTTGTGGATTTAAAAACTGCACAGGAGACATCTGGATTTTGTATGTAACGCAACAATCCAGACAAAATGCAAACTGAGCATTTTGAGCGCCTGGAGAAAATGACTTTGGATTTCTGACACATGCATTAATGAAACTAAGTACAACTCCAGATATGTATTTGATGAACAATTAACAGCTTCAAAAAGTCCATTTGAATAATTCATGTTTTTCAGACAAATAATTCCTTTCTGATTTGAAGGCCTTTGAGGACCTTTCCCCATACAAAAGATATTTGCTTTGATTTTGATTTTAATTGCTTAATTGACCACAGAGAAAAAAGATGAGTGTGTTCTTTATAAGTCCTATATTAAGCAAAATTGACTCTTGTAAACTTTAAAGACATGTTATAATAAATTGTGTTTTGTGCAGCAGCATTAGGATTCGTTCGCACGACTGTAGGCTGGCACATTTTTTATTTAACCAATCATTGCTATTTGGTCGTGACATATGTAATGCGCCGCTAACGGGGCTAACTGGTATATTAAACTTTTACCAAATCCCGTAGGAAGTAGGGCAATAACGTCTTTCCCTTTGATTAATTTCACCAAACATTCTCTTTGTTCTGGCTTTAAATCCTCAATCTTGGGAATCCTTGCCAACACAGAATGTTTGGCTTCGTCTACATCCATCTCAACGCTTTGTTTACTGTTGTGCTGTACCACAAAAGGGACCCAGACAGGCACTTGAGTTTGACGTCAAGGCTTCTCTGCTCTTCATTGATGGGTCGGTGTGCTACCTATAACTTCCAGGGTTCTTGCAAACAGTCTAGTGTATTCCGATTCCTGACCTAGTCACTGGAGAGAAATGAGATTGAGCGGAGGGACTAGGTGGCACCAGCCTCGCTAGTGTTTTGTTTCATTCACACTTGTTTGAGTGACCCTTCATTATATTATATATATTATATATATTATCTGTCCACATCTCCAAAGCTCAGAATGCTTTGTTCCATCTTGTGATGTCATAAAGAGGTCATTTTCAAGTTAACAGCTACAGTTCACCTTTTGTTTAGTCGAGATTGGCAATTCCAGAGATGAAATGAACCAAATGATTCTAGTGAAGGTGTATGGAGTTTAAAACAGTGGGGCACTTCCTACATTACCACATGGCATCAAGAGGGCTGTTTTCTGTTTGAGAGAAGAACTCTGCCTAAAGAGGCATGTGTCCAGTGTTCAGAGGGAAAATACTTAGTTTAAACAACATTGAAACATGACCCTACGATACTATTAGCATAATGTATTCCTTGATAATCACCACACTGCTAGGCTGACTGCTTTCTCCATCAGGCAGCACAGTGGGTTTGTTGTCACCATGTGTCCAGCAGCCATGCATCTGAACCAGTAGGGGGCGCCGAACGGACCCCAGGGCTCTACTGCAGGAGTTTTAAAATACTTAAAACAATCATGAATTTTAATGGTAATACGCCCAGGGAGGCTCAAACACAAGCTAGCTCACTTTCTCACTCCCTCCTCCCCCTCCTCTCTCTGCCTCTGCTTTTCTGTTCCTTTGGCAAAAACCTGAGTAGAATTATTATTAAAACATGACATGAAAATGTAAAACGGGTCCCCGGTGGCAGCAGCGAGCAGGAAGCAGTTTATTAAAGGGAAGAGGAAGTGACGGGGAAAGAGGAAAAAAGGAGACGATCAGTGCACACGGCTAACTTTGATATGTCCAATGTTTCTTTAACACTTCACACCAGAGAAGACACAGTTTATATAAAGAAGAACAAGAGCAGAGGGACAGAGGAGATCACTCAGCATGTACTCACTTATGTTTTTTTTTTTTAAATTACTAAAAGTTCACTGTGTAACTTTTCTGGTGAAGGGTCTGTCGCCTTTTTGCCTCCATGTTGATTTTCTCACCAAGCCAAGGTACAAGGTACAGCCAAGGTATCAACTATGTGGTAGTAGTAGTAGTAGTAGGAGGAGTAGTAGTAGTAGTAGTTGTAAGTAGTGGTAGCAATAGTGGTAGCAGTAGCAGTAGTGGTAGTAATAACAGCAGTATTAGTATTTGTAGTAGTAGCAGTAAGAGTAGCAGTAGTAGTAGTAGTAGTAGCAGTAGCAGCAGTAGTTGCAGTAATAGTTGTAGTAGCAGTAGTGGTAGTAACAGTAGTAGTGGTAGAAGTACTATAATAGCTAATAGTAATAGCAGCAGTATCGGTAGCAGTAGTAGTAGTAGTGTAACAGATATTAGTAGTAGGTGTAGTTGTAGCAGTAGTAACAGTAGTAGTAGTAGTAGCAGTAATGGTAGTTGAAGTAGTAATAGTAGTAGAATAGATAATAGTAGTAGTAGCAGTGGTAGTACCAGTAGTTGTAGTAGTAGTAGTATAATAGATAATAGTAATAGCAGTAGTAGCAGTAGTTGTAACAGTAGTAGTAACAGTATAATAGATAATACTAGTAGGAATAGTTGTAGCAGGTGTAGCAGTAGCAGTAATAGTAGCAGTAGTAGTAGTAGTACAGTAGTATAATAGATAATAGTAGTAGCATTAACAGTAGCAGCAGTAGTAGTCGTAGTCGTAGTAGCAGTAGTAGTAATAGTAGTCGTAGTTGTAGTAGCCCCAGTAGCAGTAGTATTAGCAGCGGTAGTATAATTAGAGTATTAGTAGTATTTACGTACTGTACAGAGGTGGAGATGTGCAGTCGTCTGATGCCTGCTGTGGGGAACTGTCTGGAGTTGATGTAGGAGACTTTTCTCAGAGCTGTGTTCATGTGGTCCAGGTCCTCCCCCTCCATCACCACGATCGACTGCGCGGGGTTAAAGTGGAACTATGGAGGCAAGAGAAAGATAGAGACAAGAGTTAAAGTACAAATACAGCCACAAGAGGGCTAAAGGGCATATAGTACTGCATTTTCTAATTTAATAATGTTTGAGCTGTTAAATGGTAGCTGTTAATTGAGCTTGAGATTTAGACAGAATAATAAATGATTACTCAAATGTGTGGATGAAACAAAACAAACACCAGGTATGTTTCTGAGGAGGTAAGAGTAAGAGTATTCTAACATGGTGTGTAGCTCACAAGGGTAAATTTTGAGTAATGCAGGACCTTTAAAGTGAAACTGATAGAGACAAGGGTTAAAGTGGAAGCACAATAACAACAGAAAGAAGAGTTAAAGTGGAACTAACTAACTCTAGCAACATGAGAAAAAGAGACAAGGATTTAAGTGTAACTACGGCAACAAGAGAGAGAAAGTAGAACTACAGTGACTTGAAAAAAACAAAAAACTATAAGACTAGGGACGGGCAATTTTGACGTAAAATATATATTTTTACCCTGGCAATATTAAGATGTTCTTATTGCTATCCGTCATAGTAATAAAATAATGCAATGGATTTATATAGCGCCTTTCGAGACTCCCAAAGAGCTTTACATAGCTTGACTGACTGACTGTAGACTGTATATATAAATGGACAAAGCTAGCGCTATGCCACAGCATTCCAAATAAGAAGTTTGCATGCGGGCGCTCCGATTGACTTTCACTGGAATATTGTGGTCCCTTGCTCTGTAACTGCTGCTGCGAGCCTTGTCATTTTGATCTTAAAGGGACAGTTTGGAATCTTGGACATAGGACCTCATTTCCTAGTGAGCCAGAGTGTTGGAGACGTGTGTAGACACTTTTTAAAATATTCCATCCGCTTCTTGTATTTGTATTTTCGCTGGTGCTAGGCTAGTGCATGTCAATGGCCATAGTTAGCCTGCCACTAAAAAAGGTCTTACCCAATCCATAAAACACCCGAAGCAAAACAATTACAATGCCAGACTGTCGATGTGAATGTCTGTGTCAATAGAATAATTTTAGAAGTAAATCCAACCTTGAAAGATTTATGTCTGAGCAGCAGCAGCGAGTTGTACTTCCTGATAGAAAGCTTGGCAGCGGTGGACTTTTTTTTTCTGTCAAATTTTTTGTGTGTGTGTATTTTGTCCATAAAATAATCCTATTCCTAATATAGAGCCTGACATCGGTGACGTCACACTCCTTTAGTCCACTTTTTTATACAGTCTGTGGTTTTATTGTGTTGTTCGTGAGCTTTCATTGTTATATGATTTTTCCGTATTCTCTCAATGAAAGCATTGCATTGTAGGAAAAATAACTGGTGAGGTGGGAAAACTTCAACTGACGTCACTCTTTTCTGGACAGATGGTCACATGTAATTAGGCAGCTTGGCACCACCTAGTGCCTCTGCTCAGTTTCATTTCTCTCCAGCGGCTAGGTCAGGAATCGGAATACATTAGACGGTACGCAAAAACCCCGGAAGTGCGAGTTCGAGCACCAGCCAATCAGCGAAGAGACATACATTCTGTGTTGTCAACGATTCCCGAGATTAAAGCCGGAACAAAGAGAATGTTCGGTGAATTTTATCAAGAAGAAAGACATTATTGCCCTTCTTTCTAGGGGATTTGGGAAAAGGTCAGATGGTTTCTACAAAGTGAAACTGGCTGATGAATCAGGCTAACATGTAATATCAGAATATGGAGAATATTTTCTGATGTCTACAAATCAACAACTGCAATGTTAACATATTTCTCACTCTAAGTATACACAAAGTCTTAAAACCAATACTACCAACTTTATGTATTCAGGGCCTCGTATCTGTAAATATCCCTTCACTTTTGCTCCGGGAAATGTAATCACCCATGTCCTTATTTCAACTTAAGCTCACATTTTGAAAACTTCTCCAGCTCTGCATGCTACTTACAATACAGATCCCTAAGCCATGGAAGTTGTCCCTATATTGAATGTAATAAAGTTAAAATGAACTTTTCTTTGTGCACACACATAGTAGACTCCCTGCCATGGCACAGTTTCTCTTCACAGATCCTCCAGTCGTCCCGCTGTGTCTCACGATTTGGGGATTTGAGAATTTTCTTTAAAGAGGTTTTGGAGTCTGTGTCACCTATTTCCGAAAACTGCCTCTCACCAGCGGGCCGGGGGTACTTGGGAACTCCACGGGGGCCACGCCAGCTCTCCAGTCCCCCTTCACGCCTCTCTATCCTGGGCTCTCATCTCCTGTGCTCCAGCCTCTCCTCCTCCCTGTTATTGTGCAGTGATTGTGCAGTTGCAGCCCTCTACCTGCTCACAATAATCTTACCATAGACCCACTGGAGGCAGATGAGGGGGGACTGTGAGGAGAAAAGATATATATATATAACTCCCGGAGAGGTTATTTTGGTGGCGTTCACGTCACATCACAACACTTTAGAATCCCAATGGTTTAAAACTGATACATTGCAGCTGATGCCATCAACATTCTCTGGGCATGATGATAACTGTAGGCACTAATCTGTCTGCAGCTCTGTTAGACTTTAATCTAAGCTTTATTTTAACACAATCTGACCATAAAGAGCAGGGTCCCCACTCTTTTTCACTGACAAAATTTCAAAACTTTTCCATGACTTTTTCAGGATCTAAAGTGAATTTTCCATGACTTTACGGCACCTACATGTGTGGAATTTATCATACTTTGAGGGCTAAATATGAAATGTTAACCCTTTCCACTCACCTTATGGTTGGGATTATAGTTTTTTAACATTCAAAATACTGTCAGTACATTTATTGTCGTCTCTTTTAAACAAAAGGTGCATGGAAATTATCATAATAGCCAAAGAAGAACTTAACAGAATGCTTTAGTTGCATAAAAGAGATACTAAAATTCCATGACTTTTCCAAAACTTTCATAGAATTTTCAAAATTCCATGACTTTTGCAGGCCTAGAAAATAACATGACTTTTCCAGGATTTCTATGACCGTGGGAACCCTAAAAGAGCTGACTTAGCTGGAACTACAGCAAGTAAACTGATTTGTGCTTTAAACAATCTCACACACACAGTTTCAGTTAGTCATGCTCACCTTTTTGACAATCTTAAAACTTTTTTGGCAGCTTTTACTAACACAGACATTCACATCAACAGTCTGGCGTAATAATTGTTATTGCGTCAGGTGTTTTGTGGAGTGGGTAAGAACTGTTTTTAGTGGCAGGATAACTATGGCCATTGACATGCACTAGCCTAGCACCAGTGACCTCTGCAAATACAAGGACTGAATGGAATATTTAAAAAAGTGTCTCCACAACTCTCCAACACTCTGGCCAACCAGGAAATGAGGTCCTATGTCCAAAATTGCAGACTGTCCCTTTAAGAGTGAAAAGTAAAAGTTTTTTGCAGAGACTGCTTTAGAACAAATAAAGCACCAAATGTAATGATTTTGATAAAGAATTTAGCTGATTTTAAGGATTTCTTAATTTTTATTGGCTTAGTTTTTGTGTTTTTTTTGCATTTGGTTAGCTCAGAGTTGGGACATTAACTCAAATTAAATGGTCTCAAATCATAAAGAAAAGTACTTTTTACTTTTTACTTTTCAGTCCAGATCTAAAATGTAGTGGAGCAGAAAGTACAGATACATGCTCTCAAATGTAGTAAAGTAGAAGTAAAAAGTATCCACTGTAAAGTGTACATAAGTAAAGTACAAATACCTAAAACTGTAAGTATTGCTCTTTTACTTTTTTACTTGGTTACATTTCACCACTGCTCTTCAATAAAACTGAGGTCTTGCCACAGCCCATCACCCAGTACCACAGTTTGAGAACCACTGTACACAAATCAATGTAAAAATAGCACAAGCAGAACCAGAGAAAGCCCAAAACAAAGACCATATTGCCACAGTGAGCGGCTGGGCTGTAAAAGGGGACCCACACAATGCCATCTATCTTGTCTACTCTGTCTGTGGCTCACAGCTCAGATGGATTAGCCCCTCTGCTTGGTTTGGGCGAAGGGGGGGTTGTAGTTTTGCAGGATCCAACTCGCGAATTAGTTGTAGTGGACCAGAGAAATAGCATCTTGTGTCGAGATAAAAATGTGTGAGGATAAATCTGTGCAAAACAAAAACAATAACTGATACACGGATACATACAGGGGTATGTTGTAAGGGCATCTAGCTTATATGAAACAATCAGGGCAAAATCATAATACAATGTACACTAACCCAATAAGACAATCCAGTCAAACTCTTTTCCCATTGAATAAATTTGGAGCTGTGTCTCAAGTTCCAATGGGCAGGATGGATTGACAGGTGGATTAACCAATCAGAGAAATGCATAGCCCCAGTGTCAAAACAAATGCTGGCTTATGCAAGTGAGGAGAAATGTTAGAAACAAGACACAAAATATTGAAAGTAGATATTAATTAGAAGTATGGATACAAATAAATATCCCAGACGAATATAACAGACTTTAACTGTTTCTAAATCATTTTAAAGCCTTGATCAGCACTATGAACACATGGAAATTTCAAACAAACAAACAAACAAAAAAACAAGACACATTTAAATTGAAATCACTTAACTTAAGACCTATCTGGGCCTATCAGAGGTGAGAGAACTTTCAAAGTTTTGTCTAAAATAAAGATGCATTAAGGTTTTGAATGTCATAGCATTACAAATTGTTACCATTACAAATCTCTTCTCTTCAACTGTGATGGATGAAGTGCTCAATTTTGTTACTTAAGTAAAAGTACAGATACAGGGGCAAATGATTACTCAAGTAAATGTAAAAAAAAATCTACTTAAGTAAAACTATTTGCAGATACTGTTTTAGAACAAATAAAGCATCAAATGTAATGATTTTGATAAGGAATTTAGCAGATTTTAAGGGATTTCTTCCTTTTTTAAGCTGTTTTTTGTTTGCTCAAAGTTGAGAAATTAAGTCAAACATAATAGTCTCAAATCATAAATATTTCCTATTTATTTTTCAGTCCAGATCTAGAATGTAGTGGAGCACAAAGTACAGATACATGCTCTCAAATGTAGTGAAGTAGAAATAAAAAGTATCCACTGTAAAATGTACATAAGTAAAGTACAGATACCTAAAAATTTTACTTAAGATACTGCTACTGTTTTGTGTGTAGATTTATTTTCTATTTTCTACAAAATGCATTTTCTACATATGGTATCAAAATGAAAATACAGTCTTTTCCATAGTAACAAAAAAAACAAACAAACAAAAAAACAAGACACACTTAAATTGAAATCAGTGAACTTAAGATTTATCTGGGCCTATCAGAGGGGAGAGAAGTTTTGTCTAAAAGAAAGATGTATTCAGGTTTTGAATGTCACAGCAGTTTAACACAAAAAGGGTAAATAACTTTTCCAGTGGAGGGATTGCCACCTGCTTCTCTCCATGGAGATGCTACTGCTTTGCCTGGAATATCCCCATTGCATTAAACATGTCCCTATTATGGAGACAAGCAGGCGATGCCTCCAGGCCAAGCACAGGTCAGATCTGTGGGAGGATGGGTGTAGAAATGCATGTTTTTTAAGATAATTTTTAGAAACAAAAACATTCTTAAATGAATAAAATGCAATATAAGCGATAACTAACTTCTCCGTGGAAACAAGCAGGTGGCTGACCCCCCACCATAAGTATTTTAAGTTTAATCAAGCTGCACTCAGGACCCTCAGTCTTTTGAAAATATTTTTACAGTGTATCTTGAGTCAATAGATTTCTGAGAACAAAAAAATATGCAAAGCTCTCTCTCTCTCTCTGATCAATTTCTCTGATCAAGGACAATTTCCAAGGCTTCCCAGTTGTATTATGCATGTGAATACAATGAATAATGCAGATGGTGAATGTTTGCCTGTCTATATAATTACATATTCTATCAAATATACTATTCTGCTCTTAGAAAGTTAAAACAATAAAAAACATAGCGGTGGCTTTGTAATTGTTAATGTTTCCACGCACAACACAACTATTCAAAAACATAAGAATGAAAAATAATGTGATTCCTTCAGAGAGCTGGCTGCATTGTTTTGATCCACAGACAGGCAGCACAAAGAAAGACAAATGAGCAATATTAAGGTGCTTTGTACAGGAAGTTTTTTTTAATAGTTCTCATAACAGTGAACATTTACGGATCGCTCTTGTTTGTGCAACATATTTTTGACATTTTGAAAACCAGAGGAAGTCTAATGTTTAGTTTGTTCTTTTCGTACTGAGTTTTGCTTTGGATTTGTTTCGATTAGTCGTGCATAAGACCTGGTTCAGTCCTATTTTAGTCTATAGCTAAATTATTATAATTGTGGAAGGCTTATGTTGATAATAAGCATCTTGAAATGACTCTAACGGGCTGATGTTTGAATACAAGGTTCATTTCTTGTCACTGAGGAAGACAATAACATGAAATCAATTGTGGTAGTGCTGACCATTCAAGTGTGACTACAGGCTTGTTTCTATTGTTTCATTTCACTTGAATCAGTATAAAAGTGTCTCCAAGGTCTAACGGGAACCAGACTGGCCCATTTGAGGTGTATCAGCTCCCACAGGGGTCTGACTTGCATTTGTTTGGATCACTTTACCTCTGACGGAAGAGCTAATAAGAAGAGCGAGATAATTGGACAAGGGTTGATCTAGACCCTGGTGAAAACAAGACAGCAAAATAATTTCTCACCAAAGACTGACTTGATTTTGTGGTAAACCAGTGTATTTCCTGTGATAGAGCCTTATAAGTTATATTTAGAATAGCTTTTAATGTTTAACTTTTGTCAGTATGATTCACTGTTTTTATCTTTACTGTGTTATTTGCTAATTGCTCTTTGTTTGTTTTAATATGTGTTCTGTAAAGCATCTTTGAGGGTCCTAAAAAGCACTGTATGAATAAAAAGTATTATTGTTATAATTATAAGATGAGCTGATATGCTTTATGCTCAAAACAAAGATAATGCCTGATACAAAACTGTTTCCTGTTTATGGCTACACTCATGTGACTCCTCACCTTGATGCTCTTATCCAGGCTCTCCAGGCTGTAGATGTCCAGGCCCTCCTTACAGGCCTGCAGACAGGAGATCACCTTCTGAGTCTCAATCCTGCCGGGGCGGATGGTGAGACCGGACAGGCTGCCTCTGAAGTACTGAGTGAAGCGGGGCCTCGTCACCTCCCCACCTGCACACAAAACCGCCACAGGGTCAGCAAAACAAAAAGGTTCATTACAAGTGCCCTCTCGTGGAGTCCTTGAGCAAGACAATTCTTTATTGAGGCTGTTGGTACAAATTAGTGGTCACATTTTCTGTCAGACCCCAAACAGCTGCGGCAACAGTACAGAGTGTGATTGAGAAGTAAATGAACAATGCAGACCTGTAGGAGTATCTTGCTATATAAATTAAAATTATTGTAAAGCAGAAGTAGGTGATGATTATTTTAAGAAAAAATAAAAAATAAAAATTACTGTTTTACTACCAAAATTACCAGAATTTATATACCATTTTATTTTTATATGCCTTATGTGTTGGTTTGAATTAAACATCCATGAATGAGGAAAAAAAACAAACAAAGCCTATCCATTATACAACTTGACTGTTCTTGAGCAGTATCTATACTGAGGACTACTTCATTTCAACATTATTTACAATAATGTATTAAATATATTCAATAAAATATATTCCCAGTGTAACGTCCTTCACTCCATCTTCTGCTGTTCTTCAATGAATCCATTTTCTGAACCAATCCTTTATGTTTCAAAGTATTTTTTCGAATAGCAGCTTCTAATTGTGTAACATTACATTTACGGTTTTCAATAGTGCAAGTTTTAAAGCTTTTTCTAGCATTACCTTGACAACAAAACTCTATGAATAATTAGAATGTTTGGAATACAAGGTAACTGAGGAATAACTTTGGACCACTGCAGACCAACTAATTTTGCTTTTTATGTTTAAAGACAGTAAAAATTAGATACAGCGCCTTTATACGTGCACTGTGTAACTTTTCTGGAGAGGGTCCGCAACCTGTTTGTCTCCATGGAGATATTAATGCTTTTGTATGAATTGTCCACAGTATAATATTAGACGACTACAAGTGTTACTTTATACATAGAAATATCTTATAAAACATTTTTATAACCAGATGCATACATACAAATTTTTTTACTGTGAGTGGGTTCGCTTGTCCACAAATCAAACCAGTAATTTAGTTTACAAGTCTCCATGGAGATCCGTAAGTTTATGGCTGTACTGTGGAACATTCTAGGCACATCTCCATGGAGACATGTTACACAATGCATTTATTTGCTTTACGCAACCTCTGCATTCTCCTGTACTATTTCTGAGGTCTCTGGGGGCTGTAATTGGTCTGATAAGATTCATGTTATTGTGTGTTTGCCGTGACTAAGCACTTCTGTGTCAGGCTAAACAAAGGTAAAAGAAAGAGCCCATTTGTGCAGTGTCCTCTGAACTGCCGAAAGGCCATAGTCTCCAGTCTCTCATTAGCTGAAAGGTTACTGCTCTGGGAATCGAACCCTCACCTTTGCGATGCTTACTCTGCCCAATGGTTATCCCTATACGCTGCATTTTGTTCCTAATTTTTGGCTGTGCCCCAACACCAGGTACAAATGATTTTAACACCTTATAATGACTACTCGTAATGAACTAATGGATTATTTATAGGGTGAATCAGGCATAGTAACTATTAGGGCAGGGTATCATTAAGAAGTTGCCAATATGATAGATACATACCGCTATACATAGGTCACGACATGATACATATCTCGATACAGTGCACTTTCGTTTTGATACAATATATTTCAAATCGATTCAATGTGATTCAATTAAAAAAAAGGATAAATTGTGGTTACTAAAATACTAAAATACAGATTTGTTGTTGTTTTTAGTGGCAGGCTAACTATGGCCATTGACATGCACTAGCCTAGCACCAGCGACCTTTGCAAATACAAAGACTGGATGGAATATTTTAAAAAGTGTCTCCACGTGTCTCCAACACTGGCTCACTAGGAAATGAGGACCTATGTCCAAAATTACGGACTGTCCCTTTAATAAGGCAACAAAAATAATCATAAGTAATTTCGACATAAAGTTCCTATATTACACAAAATTGATTATTGTGTGTTTTAAACCATGGTATAATGTTGTTACCTCATCAAAAACATACCTGGAGTTGTGTTTTTGTGTGTGTGTGTGTGTGTTCATTCACACATGTTTGAGCAATCCTTTATTATTAATCTGTCTACATCTCTACATTTTTTGCCTTTTGTTCACTAGAGATTGGCCATTCCAGAGCTGAAATTAATCAAACGACTCTAGTGAACGTGTATGGAGTTTAAAAACACAGTGGAGCACTTCCTGTATTACCACATGACATCACTGTTTGAAAGAAGAATGAGCCTAAACACAACTCCATGTTTTTGATACTTAAACATTATAACACAGATCAGAACATAGGACCATTTTAAAAAGTTAAAGTGTGTGTCGTTTTCCATATTTCAAAAGTGGAATCATCTTTAACAGAGTTCTCTTATTTGATTGGACCACAAACTTTGCTTCGGTTCCCAGTTCACAAAGTTGTAACAGCCATATTAGCCCTGTTCATTTAGAAGGTGACTGTAGCAGAAAATTAAAGGCAGCCTAAAATATATAAAGTGCTGAATAAGAGCTTCCAGTGAGAACATTTTGATTTACTGCACTAAACAGTTTTTTGGCCAGAAATCCCCTGGGAGCTGAGGGCAGGAGGGGCAGGCTGGGTACAGACACAGCCTAAAGGGACGTAGAAAAATACACAAAATACACAATACGCCACACTAGGGACAAAAAAGGTATTAGTCGTTTTAAGGTCCCTGCTTAGTGTATAAATAATAGTGAGTAGAAAAGTTGTGTTAGTAGTTAGGTTTTGTTTTGTTTATAATAACATAGGAAATTGAAAGTGCATTGTGTAACTTTTCTGGTTTTTTGAAGTATTTTTGAGCTATAAAACCACTTGTAATTGGAAAAATGTAAAGCTGAGTCAAGTTTAATGTCATACCGTGGAACATTCCAGCAGAGAATTCTACTCTAGCTTCATAGCGTAGCATAAGTTAGATTTACTGCCAATCAACTCATCACTTAATTATAATCATTAACACCCACTCGTGTATTTTCTCCGGAGTTGTAGAGCGTAGTGTTAAATCAATAAGAGGAGCGCAGTGATGAAGCCAGTGTAATTTGTGTGCATCAGGTCACACACGGGCTGAAAGAGAGAAAGTGTATTTACGCACACTGTCTAAGGGAAGAATGCTGAACCATGACAGCAATTTCATTTTGTTTAATTTAGACCTATTTTGTAGACCTATTATCAGCTTTTAATGATGTTGTAGTTGTTCTCGATTCTCATTTATCCTCTTGAAGCTGTAGTTAGAGTGATTTGTGCATGTTTGAGTAGTCTTTAGTGGCATATTTTCAAAACGTATTTTTCAGTCACTGGTACACACCCACTGCTCTGTACTTACTTGTTCTCCAGTTTTATTTTCTTTATTGTTGATACACATAGGATTTGGCAGAGTTGCATAGTAATTTTGGTACAAATGCAAAAAAAAAAAAAAAAAGGTCTACTAGCGTGATGTACTGCTATTCATCAGAACTGCTGACAGCTGCACGGTTCTTTGTTTACATTTTATTATAGGTAGTTTTATGTATTTTTGCATGTTAGTGTGTGTGTGAGTGTGTGTGCATGTTTGTGCATGTGTGTGTGTGTCTGGGCTGTTTGGTTGTGTGGGGTCAGGCAGCTGTGACGCTAGGTTAGGTAGGTAGGTAGAAGGAAATGTGGCCTTGTTTTTAATCACTGTAAAGCACATTGTGTTACATTTCTGTATGAAAAGCACTTTATAAATAAAGTTTGATTGATTGTTGTGATGACGTTTATAGAGACGTCAGCTCCCAATGCGCACCAGTTTTATAACACCGAAGTCAGTGGCCTTGTTTCTTTTATGAAGTCGGTTTAGATCAATATTGCAAAAATGTGCAAATTATAACATAATGCTCAAAGGATGTCATAGATTAATATTTAGATTAGAACTTTTATATTAGAAATTACAATACAATATGTCTTCTTTAGGTGCATTCTGATACTGGCTATTATAGTTTATTGACGCTTTAAATGCAGTGGTGGAAGGTATCGAAGTACAAAAGTAAAAGTATACATTTTAGGTTACCTGCACTTTACTTATGTACATATTACAGTAGATACTTTTGAATTTTACTTCACTACATTTGAGAGCATGTATCCGCACAGTCTATTTCACTAAATTTTAGATCTACACTGAAAAGTAAAAAGTACTTTTTATATGGTTTTATATAGTTGCGACCTACTGAAATGGCTGAGAATCAATTGAATCACTTAAAATCTGCAAAATTCTTTATCAGAATCACTCCATTTCATTCTTTAATTGGTTAAAAAATCTTTGCAAAATACTTTTACATTTTACTCATTAAGTACATTTTTAAGCAGGTACTTATACGTTTACTTGAGTAGATTTTTTTCAGGTGATACTTTTACTTGTGCCCCTGTATCTGTACTTTTTCTTAAATGACAAAATTGAGTACTTCATCCACCACTGGTTAGATGTAAGACAATTTCCCTTAATTATATCTTGATTTTAACAACAATATTAATATGCACTATTTGGAGTGGGGATCAAACCACAGACCTTTGGGTAAGTGGGCTAAAGCTCTACCAATCCAGCCACTTTTACTTGACTGTGTTGTGAAATAAAGCCTTCTCTAGCTTGTTGTTTGTCTAATGCTAATATGCAGCTTTAATATAAAACCCAATAAATCACAAATACAAATGGGAGATTGGAGCAGCAATGTTTTCAATCCAAAACACGTTTAACCTGCACAATGGAACTTTATGCCAGGTAAAAAAAAGTAACTCAGATCTATTTTAATAATGGAGTGATACCTCAGGGGGTTACCAAAATGTATTACCAACAATAGAAGATCACTTTGCTCATAATGTTGGCCATAATTTAAACATTAAAATACAAAAATGAGCTTACCCTGCACTATTTTGGCTGTGTAAGCTTTTACATAATAGACTAATTGTTGAAAGCAAGTGAAAGAGGGAGTAGTGTTATCAATTTAAATGTGTACTGTGTAACTTTTTTTTTAGGGGCCCATCAC